AGTGACTCAGCCACTCCAGATCTCCCAAGGACCCCCCTCCCCTTACCCAAGTCCTAAAAGCACGATCAGGTCTGTACTGGGGTGAAGACTAATTTTAGATCTCAGAACAAACTTTCAAACCTATTTTGATCATGACAGTAAAGCGTTTATTTTGCGTCCTAGGAAAGCTACCAGGCAATGCATAAACAAAATAAAAGCGTCATAATCCAGCTTTTGCACCAAGTGCGATGCTGATATTCTGTTTTCTATTCCACCCTATGAAAGGAAAGGTGACACTATATGATGTCACAGTCGACTAATGTGTAGAGGTCACGTGGTAATCTTGTGGAAGGATGGGCTTCACCCTCGGGGATCCTGTAGCAAAGAGAAGAGTGATGACCCTCTCTCCGAATGCTCATACCTGGGAGTATGCTTCAGTCATAAGGAGGCATGGTACTAAAATGGGTATTTTCTGGCCTGCTCGTGGCGGGTGTGAGTGGTAACGTCGTGCTTCTGTGTGCTGGTTAGGGCACCCTCTTTGTGGAGCCAGGGGGAAGAATGCAACAGAGCCCATGTCAGAAACAGCCCCTGCTCCCCTTACTAGAGAACCCACATGAAGACAAGCTGCCCATTGGGTACATGTGTGTAGAGAGCCTAGGTTCAGTCCATACATAGTCCTTTGGTTGGTGCTTCAGTCTCCACGAGCCCCGCCCCCCACCCACATCCCCAGGCCCAGGTTAGTTGGCTTTGTTGGTCTTCCTGTAGAGCTCCTGTGCTCTGCCCAATGTGGCTCCAGGCCACCATGGAAGAGGATGTGCTGGGATGGGTAGGTGTGTGTCGTCTCCCTTTTTCTAAGGAGTAGGGAGAAGAGGGAGGGGCTACGATTGGGATGTAAAGTGAATAAGTTAATTTTAAAAACAACAAACAAAACCAGACTATGCCAACAACTGAAAGAACAAAAATTTAGGAAAAGGCGAAACAGCTGATATGAGTCACCTCCTCATAGTCTCTCAAAGTAGTTTATGTTTCCAACTCATCTGGCCCCGTTTTCAGTTTAATCTTCATACACAAGAGCAAAGTAGTATTCAAGAGGGCCACAAGGATTTGGATGGCCCACTCAGCTCCATTCCCTGCCTCCTGCCTCTTCCGTCATTCTCTCCTAACCCTGGCATTTCTCAGCAGCCCTCCTGCCAAAGCCTTTGTGAACAAACGCAGGTCCAGCCAAATGTTTCTTTCATTCTGTTGTGTCAGGCTTGGGGCTGGTGAGATGCTCAGGCATAAAGGTGTTTGCTGCGAAGCCTGTGGATCCAAGTTCCAAGCCCGGGGGTGGAAGGAGAGAACAGACTTCCGTAAGTTCTCGTCTGACCTCCACATGTATTGTTGTGGCACATGTGTACATATTTAAAAGTAAATGTAAAAAATTAAAGTCACCCTTCCCTTAGTAATTAAATACAAAGCAGATAAAATTTAAAAGTTCCAACTTCTCCTTCCTTACCTAAGGATGTGGGAACCCACCTCTATCTTACTGGCAGTCCATCCTTACTTTTCCCTGGCTCTTTGTAGCTCACTTTCCCTTATGGGTATTTCTGTAATCCTTTAGCCCATTAAGTTCATTTGGTTCTTCTGTCTTTTCCTTATCCATCACCCTCCTCCAGTCCCCACTTTCCTCCTCTTCCTATCCTATGATCAGTGACACCCTCATTGTCCTTCCCTTTATCTTCACCATCACAGAGTACTGCCCAGGCCCAGCCACTGCTCTAATTAAGTCGTGGGCTGCCTTCCTTGTGCACGCTCCCACTTTGCTGCTGCTCACTGAAAATGCAGAGCATTAGCAGGACTTAGCTCAGCGGTTCTCAACCCGTGAGTCCCAACCCCTTTGGGGGTCTGAGATCCTTTCCCAGGGGTCACCTATAATCACCAGAAAACGTGATTCATGACTACCAGAATTAGTTACGAAGCAGCAACAAAAGTAATTTTATGGTAGGGGGTCACCACAACATGAGGAACTAGGAGCAACTGGAAGGAAACGTCTCTATTGCCTCACTATGGTACCACCCTGCCACCTTTCTCCGCTAGACAGGTAAATGGGTGGGCCTTGTAGCTGCAGTCAGCTCGACCCCTTTAAGCATTCCATCATCTCCTGGACATCACTTAACCAATTTCCTTTCTCTCCTACATTCCATTTGTTTCTTCTGAGTCATTCCACACGTCCATTAGAGTTTAAGAGTTTGTTTCCAAGCCTTCGGTCTCCCTCCTTCCCAACATTTTACAAGAGACAATCAATTTCATCCATAGTTGATGTTTCCCCCTGATCCTTCTTCAGCTACAACACAGGAAGAGAAAAATCAATGTACACAGTAATGTTCAGCCAAATGAACAGAAGCTCTAGGTAGTATTCAGTTCTTTTGGGTTGCCTTCGGTTCCCTACTAGTCCAGGTGTTGGGGAGTGGGACAGGTGGTTTAAAGGTCTTTGTGCAGGTAGAAGACAAGGGCACCTAACTGTACTTATTCTTGGTGGCTTGGTCTGGTACTTGCCCCTTTCTCCCTGATCATCACTTTTTTTTTGTCTTTTTCTGGACTCAGAAGAACACTTGGCCTGAATGGGTTGCCAATCCATAAGTCTCATTTCTTCCATTCTGCTCTGTAGCTCTGTATCCTAATTCCTTGGCTTATCTACTAGTGTCATCAAGGCAGGTTGACTGGGTCTCAAGTGGACATCACACCACAGTGTTTTCTATTCTATACTGTGCCTTCCATTCAGGTATTCCCTTTCTCCATCTTATGTTCTCTTTCTACTTTATTACAAACACATCACTCATTTAGCTATTTATTTAATAAATAGATATCAGCATCACCTGTACCAGAAGGCAGGACTTTAATCTATTGTGTCCTCAACTTCTTCTCTGTTGTCTGGACGGGTACATCTCATAAAATGAGAATTTAGTAAATACTTGTAAGATTTCTTTGATAATGATCTATCACTAGTCCGGTGGATTACTCATAGGGAGAGATGAATCACAGTGACTTTTTTTTTTTTTTTTGCAACACGACTATGATGGAATTCAAACATGGCTCAGTCCTGAGGGTGAAGTTAAACCTTTATTATGATGGCCTGGAATTCTGTGGTCTAAGAACCAACCAACTCTGCTTGGTAGTTCCAGACCATCTTGCCAGCATGTTATCTGATGGGAGGACTTTTTGAGTGGATAAGGGCTGCAGACATCTCTCATACCTGAGCATCTCTCTACTTGGCATTTTTTTTTTTTGGGGGGGGGGACTACAAGAATGTATGTAGGTTTTTCCCAGCCTTTAAGACCTTGTGTTTCTAAAAGCAAGAGGGCAGAGTCTATAATAGACTTCCGGTCTCTGTCAAGAGGCCTCCTAGGTTAGCCATTGGCAGGCTGGGCACCAGACTAAAGAGCTTGAGATATACTGTTTGAGCCCTTGCATATTTTAACTCAATCTTAAAAACTGAGGGCAGCTGAGGGCAGTGATCCTCAACTTTCCTAATGTTGAGACCCCCCCCCCAATACAATTCCTCATGTTGTGGTAACCCCCAACCATACAATTATTTCATTGCTACTTCACTGTAATTTTGCTTCTGTTACGAGTCATAATGTAAGTATACGATATGCAGGGTATCTGATATGCAACCCCTGTGAAGGGGTTTCAACCCACAGGTTGAGAAACAGTGGCTTATGGTACTAGCCTCCTGGCATCTGCATATTGAAGACAAGATCAAAAAGTAAGGAGTTCCAGGGTCAGGGCAGCCAGAAAGCCTGGGGCTGCCCAGTCCACTGATACTGCCACTGAGATCTGTGGCCTCCTGCTGGGCACACTCTTAACATTATCCATTGAGAGGGCTAAGCAGGACTGGAGTCTGCAGTCACCTGTAGATGCGTGTGTCCACTGTGGGAGCTCACAGCTCTCCCGCCCTCAGGGGTTTACAGCTTCTCACCCAGCCTCTTCCTTATTCTCTAGGCTCCAGATGCCAAGGAAATGGTGTCTGTGTTTATGTCACAATTTGCTGAGGAGTCCTTCAACTGTTGAGGCTTTCAGGGAATGAACTCAGATCCTGAGGCTTGCCTACGAGTGCCATCTTACCAGCCCCAGAAAAGACATCTTAAGTGAAAGGCAGAGGCAGCAGAGCTGGCCTTGGAAGGGGAAGACACAGCTAGCTTCTCCCCTCACAAACCTCCGGGATCTGACCATCGCAGGGATCTGGGCTCAGGTGTCCACAGGTTTCTCTGCATAGCAGAGACATGTTGGGACATATCCAGGTGAGACCCACTGACTGTGCAGGTTCCTGTCGCTCTGCAGTGGATGCTTTTGCAACTTTCAGTCCATCAGAGCTTCCCTGGCGTGATGAACAGGCTCAGTGTGGCGAGGACAATGGTAAGCTCATCCAGATAAAAAACACACACACATTTCTTTTTCTGGAGGGTGGGGGTCAAAAACATTTTTCGGAGTTGTTTCAAAGATTTACCAGGGAAAAGTTGGGCATGTTGGTGCACATACCAATTCCAGGACTTAGGAGACAGAGGCAGGATAGGAGGTCAAGGCCAACAATAGATACCCTGTCTCAAAACAGAAACCAAAACAACACAGGGAGAAAATGCCAACTTAGACAAAAGAACTGGAACATGACAGCATCACCTGTTTTGAGGTAGAGAGGGCCACTTCTGGTTTTAAACTAGTTTTATGTGTTTGTCTCCTTGGACCACGTGAGGTCTCTCTGCATAAAGACAATCTGCTTCAAATCGGTGACAAGCTCTGTGAATTAGAAACCAAGCCCTAGAACTCAGAGAGCACACCTGCCTCTGCTTCCCAAGTGCTGGGGTAAAAGCTTCTAATTTAATTTTGGAGTCTACTAGATTGATTTGCCTAATGAGTATGTGTTCCCTCAGGCTGAAGTTCAAATACTGCTAGTACATCTGTTGTAAGCCCCTTGGCAGAGGAAATATTTCATTTTCTTATAGAGGTATCAAGTGATGAACTGTTTATAAATAAAAAAGCAAATCTCAAAAAAGAATGATACAACTTTTATTTTTCATGGATTTTACAGATACTTTGCTACATACTTTATATATTATGAGATTATATTTTTTCACTTGTATGAAGCTCAACTGTATACAATTTTAAGGTGATATGTTTGGTAGTGTATCTATCATCTTTAAAAAGTTGAGTTTTTGGAATGTACAATATATGAGGTAAAATCAAGATTACATTAAAAATTGTTTTCTCCTCTGCACTAACATTGCAGTGAGGTTCAAATGGCAAGTACACTATTAAATGACATTTACTATCAAAAATAGGAGTTCATTTGAATTACTATGAAAAACATAAGCCACTATGTGGCACATTTTACCATTTTAGACATTCAACTATATAGAAATCTCTGGGCTCTTACACTCAGACTCATTTGTACTGCCAAATGTGGCACTTTAAGAAGTTTCTAGAAAACAATCGTAATCGCTGTTGTTTGGGGGACAAGTTATCACCCTATTGGTAAGAGATTAAATAAAATGTAAACATACAGTATATTATAGTGACAGGGTTTTCTTACACTTGGAGAGGCCAAGTTTATCTGTTTCTTTTTCGAGTAAAGGTTAATGTTTTTTTCTATAGCGCAGATCATTTGACATAAAACAATTACAATACATGCCCATTCTATTATAAGGGAAACTCTTCAAAGTTCATCAAAGCACAAAACATACATTACTTTTTGACAGACAGAGTGCTTAGTAATCACTAAAATGCAGACCTCAGCAACTAAAAATTAGTGACCCAATACTCTAAAACTCAAAATAATAAATTAAAGAAGCTAGTTACAGATGTCTACAGATAACAGATGTGATAAAACAAAATTTTCATATAAATTCATTGCAGACTGTATTATTACTGGCAGTCATTGATATCGAGGTGAGATGTACAATGTGATATGACAAAATTCAATCTGACCATCCAACAACTCACAAATGCAAGCTCACAAAACATTAATGAACTGTGCAATTTGCAAAGTGCTCTAATGCAGCGGTACCCACATGCAATCGACAATTTGGAACAGTATCCAAACAGACATTATACATTAAACATTAGTTTCTCAAAGAAAGAAAGCAGCTTGAAGTTTACTGGTGCAAATTAATTTTGTCTTCAGATTTGGTACCCCAAACAAAAAGGTTGAGTTTGATTAGAAATTCTGATGGCAACGGCAGTAGTTATAGGAGATGCTGCAAAGCCACTGGGAGTCCTTCAAAGCTAGCCTAGACCAGGTGGTGAGCGCAGACACGTCTCCTTACCTGACAGTCTTGCACACAGCTCCTATGTACATGTATGCACTCACACACACACACACACACACACACATGCACACACGCGAACACACAGTTTAAAGGCCCAGAAAACAGAAGCTAAGGGCTTCAAATTTAGTTATTATTTAAATGTCCTCTGTTCTCAAATCCCAAAAAGAGGTACTGTTCAAGTAAAGATTGACATTTCTGGGTCTGTGCTTTCTTAGACTTACTTGTGAATTCATGTGTATGTGTACGGAAGAACTCCACAATGACCAAACAGGAGCTTCTTTTTCTCCCTCAGATTCCTTCATCCAGTTTCTGTTTCCTAAGCCCTCCAGTTTTCATCAAAATTCTACTTACCAAACAATTAAGACAAATGAGGAGGTAGAAATATAGCACTAGATTGCTTTCACAGCATCAGACTTGAACAAGTTTCGTAGAGCACGTTAGTGTAAATTCTAATCATTCTGAAAATTTCACATGGTAATCAATCATCTTCAAAACAAATAGATGTGGCTATTTTTACTCATGCTGACTGGTCAAAACAATCATAAATGCTGCCTTTTAGGAAGTTTGTTCTACTAGAAGGCATATCCAATGTGGGGTGGGGGTGGGAGGAGAGAAAAAAAAAAAGAAAAAAGTGGGGAAGCCCCAACCCAAGAATAAAAGAACCAGTCCTCCCCAGACTGATGTTTCTGTGGCTGAACTCTCACGAAGTGTCAGCTTTTGCCTAACAACATAAGCACTGAAAAGGCCAAAACCATGTTTTAATATATAGTCTCAATGCCAGTGCTAAATGCCACCATTTTGTAAAAGAAATACAGAAATAATTTTAGTACATGACAAAATAAAATGTAATACAGTGTTAAAAATAAAGTTATATTTTCACTTGATTACAAAGTACTGAATGATAAAGGCAATCAGAATGGAAAAAAAAGCAAACAACACCATGATGACGGCGGCACACTGCTGGTCACTAAGAGTGCGCTGGGTCCGCGCGCCATCCACAGTGTCTCTGTTGGTGCTGGCCGGGGGCTCTGTCCTCTGGGAGATGAAGAACACTGTGGTGCTGTAGGGACCTACCAGGTCCTGGTGCCCCACAGGGTCCTGGCATTGGCGAATGGCACACACGCGAAATCGATACTCACAGTTGAGCTGAAGGCTGGCATACCGGAATGAAGTATCAGGGCCCTTGTAAATCTGTTAAGGAAAGGTTGGAGAAAGAACGGAGTACAAAGTCTGGACAGAAAATATTTGCACAGCTACGGTTTGGAATCACTTTAGATGTGAACACTTCTGAGTATCACAGGTTTCATCTTGCACACTTGCACATGCAGGTCAGAGGGCACCCATGGCTTTCTTACTTTCTTTAAGCACTCGCTACATTATTTATTAATACTGTTTTGAGAAGTCTCTCA